GATTATCGAAATGGTAAAAGACAAGATACCTATCAAGCCTTTGTTGATGAATTCAATGAAAGCAATTACCAGGGTCATATTCCTGTATTAATTGCTGATCAAGATATGCATCGATTAACAGTAGCTATTGCTCGAATGGGTTTCAATGTTTCTGAATTGAATCCTGCTGATTCACATGGTGTATTTGGTGAATATTGGCAAAATCGAGGACCAGCTGTAGAAGAAAAACTAGCTTTAACTACAGTGGGTCTACTTGTACAACATCATCTGATTAATCCATATGTACTTGATCCAAACCATTACTATCTTATTTAATTTAAAGACATAGAGAATAGTTTCACATTTTAATACTGTAAATGAAAATGATAGAATAAATAAAAGTTATTTTCTTTATCAATAATTGCTTTGGTGATTCTAAGTTTCTGTACACATGTTGTGAACGGTAATGGAAATAGTTGATGCAGTGTAGTTCTGTACAGAATTCTTTACTGATTGGTATACAAAATTTTTTCTTTATCTGTTGATTCCAATTTTTCTGAGGTTTTTGCATTTTGTTTCATTGCTCCGTCGTCGAGATATATGACTTACAAAATCGATAATTTTGACAAAATTAAAAAACGAAATTTTAAAAACAAAGTGGTTTTTCCCTCACAGGTAATAGAGATTTCGAGGGTGCGTTGTGTGATCTATATCGACGAAAATGTCTACTATTGAAGTAAATGCGTTTCAAAAATTTCACAATAGCTTGACAGATAGTAATTGAAGGACATGGAATGGTCGTGGAAAGACTATAGAGCTGGAAGCGCACAATGACGCATATTATGAATATATTATTTGTAAATCTTAACACAATAGTAGTCGAAAGTAATATTTTTGTCATCGATTTAATGTCTTCATTAATGATATAGTTACTTAAAGAAAAATGTGTACTTTTAAAAAAAAAAGCTGTGTCAAAAATACATATGGTGTTTAAAGAATAGGTTTTTATATTTGTTGTGTTTCGTTTTTGATGGTAGTCTAATAAAAAGGAATAGATGGCACCTTTGTCTATTTAACATTATCCTAAAAAAGAGAGAAAGTAGGGAATTTTGAATTCATTCCATTTCCTCCTCTACCTCAACGGTCACTGTAGTTACCGAATTACCCTGTACGAAAGATCATGCGCCTGGTTGATCTTGAGAATGTGAGTGTGGAGGTGGGTCTTCGTTTTAACAAGATCCACACTCACACAACATTCATACCCACTCGCAGACACCCACATCCTTAAGATTTATGTCGGTTAGTGGTCTTCACATTGGTTGCTATACATAGAGTATTTTTATATCAGTAGAAAGAATTCTCTATCCTGTTCCTAATGGAATTCTAATGCTTTTTCTACTATCATTTCATAGAAATAGGCATAACATTTTAAAATCTATGAATCTCTTGAAATGCAGTATGGAAAATTATTCTTTTCTGTTATATATGATCTATGTATGGCTTATTGTCATATTATCGATAATAGAAACTGCTTCGAAATGAGTTAGTTCCACATGTGTTTTCAACAATACAAACTGTTCGATTATTTGTACCAAGAACCAGTTGACAAACAAATCTCAAAGAAAAAAATCTTCTCTGTTGTTACAATTCTTATATACATTTAATTTCCATATATGTCTTCTCCGATTCTGTGATACGCATCATTTAGGAAGCATAGAATCGCTGCTCGTTTTCTTCGAATCGAACTGATCTTATCACTGTTGTGCACTAAAATTCTGTTAACTGTAATTATAATATTTTCACTGATATGAATCGAATAAAAATTTAATAAAAAATAAATTAATTACAATGCTAAATCTAATTTTTTTTAACTGAACAAAAGATATCGGGTGTGTAATTAAACAGATACTAAGTAATTCATTAAAAGCCTTTAATGAGTATATGTAATGTTTTGTTTTTGCAAAGAACATCATCAGATTCAATTTTAGAAAAAGAAAAGGAAAAAGTTTTAAAAATTCTAAAGAAACAGCAAGATAAAAGAAAGTATTTCTTTCGTTCTACGCAGTTTAAAAATTTCATGGTATATAAATCATTTTTCTTCCTGTTGCCTTGTACTGTTGGAAATGTATATAAACGAAAGAAAGTTTTTATTAAAGAATGCAACATTACACGTATTGATTAAAATGATCAACAAAATATGTTAGATAGCTTAAAGACTCTCACAATATTATTATTCAATCTGATAATATCAATTGATTTACATAAAGGCATTTCATCTATTGTTTCATTCAAGTGATTTAATCGCTTATTCAATTCGAGGAATTTTATTGATATGAACCATTTTAAAATTTTTTTGAAAACTGTTGCCTCTGTCAAACGTGGTTGGAAGTGGAAAACAGGAATTTTTTGCAACTATTGTTTCGCTGAATTTTTATTTACATAACTCGTCAGTTACTTTTGCTGGTTTTTTTGCAATAGAGCTCAGCATAAGAGGTTTCTCAATGACCTCTATCGAATGCTGTTTACAAGATTGATCTTTACCGCAATTTTTTAAAATGTTTTTCATATTGGTTTCAATAAATCTATAAAAATCAAAGAATGTGTTAAGAATCAAACGAAACTAATGTTATTGAAACAAATTTTGCATGAGTATAAAGCAGTGTGAAGCATATTATTTTTTTTGCTTTTTTTCATGGATATGGTCGTAAATGGCACTTAATCGAGTCTTTACGACAGTAAGCGTTGATTTATACCACCGTGTTTCTTTCAAGTATGACTGTGTTATGGCATGAATGGATGCATGAACTATGATCGTAGTTAGGTGTATACATGTATAGCGCTGCGACTTATGATCATAATACATTGGATAC